ATCGTGGACACACTTTAGGCCCAAAATGGGGATTAGGCCGAAGTAGTTCTCTACCCTATTTGTTGTTTTTCTTAAAAGTGAAGAACTGAAACAGCACGCCGACTTGTTGTGCTGCATGAGCTATGTCCGCTTTCATTCCCGCTCCTGCAGGTACGTCCCTCTTCACGTGCTCACTCACTCAAGTATCCTGAGAACCTCCAGAGGTGCAGAGGGCCAACATGAGAAACCTCCATTCTGAGCGGTTGCTTGACCTGGGCCCAGGTCAAATTCCTATTGGTTTGCTTGATTTCCTTGTTGGGGTTTTGCTGCCATAAGCCCCAGTGCCTTTGCTGTGACGTACTGATGAATTTGATTCACATGCTTCACACGCTTGCCTGCAGTGATATTGTCGGTTGTATTATTATTTTCATTTTTATATTGTTTTTCGGCTGCCAGTACGCTGTCAGCAACAACAATTTCCATTGGGGATCATTTGATACGTTTGCAGTTCCGTCCAGTATAAATTGGCTGTCTCCAACCGGCGTGATCCTTTTTGCTTACTCTCTTCTTTTCTTGTTCACGCTTTCTCGCTTTTTTTTCCTTTCTATTGAGCATGTGGCCGTAGGGTTAACTACCCCATTTCCGGCCTATTAAGCACAACCCGCACTTAGTCTTTCTTTATCTAGCGCAGTTTAGCACCAAACGGAATGTTATTGTTACTGATGGCTTCCAAATTTATTTACCTTTCCGTATGTACCGTAAGATTTGATAAAGAGAAACCAATCGTTGAGATATTGTCAAAAGTCTAACATTGCTTCTTGACGCCAAACTCGGCCTACGCATTCTAAACTCGGCCTAACGCATTGAAACGTCAATGAATTCACTTCGGCCTATCGTATGAAGACAAAACATGATTCGGTCGGAGCGCTTCTTTTGTTTTTGAGAATAATGGGTGCAAACCTTCATATCACGCGTTCTCATTGACTTCGTTCCGTACACTGAACCAAATTGTCCATACATCAATGTATGATTATTGCTTCACTTGAGCCCCATACGGATTATTTTTCTATTTGTGAAAGATTATCATTCTCTGATTCAGCTCTCAAAGCACAGAAGAACTGAATAGCATTAATTCTAAAACAGGATGATTTTCGTTCTGCACGCTGTAAACCATTAGCATGATTATCATCCATTCTTAGGAAGACTTGAAATGAACAAACTGTATGATTAACATTGAGAAAGATACGGACTCGTCATACAGTTTCAAAATAAATTGTCATGCAACGTTTAAATGAAATATAAGTGCAATCTGAATGAAAAATATATGGAAGCAGAAAGCTTATTTTACTGTTTAAAAATTGTGATCATAACGAAATATATCTCTTCTAAATTGTTGGAACTGTTAATTAATGTTGTAAATGAAACACTTCTGTTTTATAAGTTGAACAATTGTTTTATTCATTTATGATAAAAACAACCACACTAAATGCTGCACTGGGCCGGCCTCGCCCCTGGCGTCCCCATCGAACAGTGGATTCGCCGGTTCGGACTCGTCATCCACGGAATCGAATCCAATCACGTTCTGTAGGAACTTGTGCAATTTAGGATGTTGGCTCGGGTTGTTTGTGGCCTCAAAAAGCAGTTTGAAAATGTTGTCCCAAAATCTGCTAAATGAGCTCATCAGCTGGTTGGTCTTGAAGATATCACTGGAAGATAAATTTGTTTTGTTAGAATCGTTTTGATTGAAACAAAGGACCTCCCTCCCAGTAACTTACTGAAGTCTAGGAATTTGAATCAACCAGCGGATGTTGTTTTGATTACACGTTTCTGTCGATGGCCACTTGGCCAGTTTGTAAAACTCCACTCGTTCGACGACTTGCCGTAGTACGAAAGAGGCAGTTCGGCGTTTTGGTACTTGCTTTCCTAAAAGTCGCTGACCGCCTCCTCGAGGGGGGGGGGGGCTGGATCGCAAACAATCCACGGGCACTGAAGCATTCGAATCAAACGGGAACGGAACGAGTAGATATTTTTTTTGCCACATGAATCCGAAAACTTTTTTCTCGTTCGCTTTTTGGTGACACTCCCCGTGGTATGCGAAAAAACTGTGTACTGCTATTCGAGAGAGACGCAACAAACTGCGAAAAAATTGTAAGGCCAAAACGCAATGGGAGACTGAAACGATAAGAAAATGAATCGTATGACAGTTGTTGTATGATTTTCGTTATGGGGTTCACTTGGATGATTTTAGTTCATTTCTGTTCTTGAATTCATTTATTGTTAATACCTTTCAAAATTTGAACGGTACTTCATTAAGTGGTTGATGTTATTTCCTTTTATGATATGTATGATGAATCATCCCATTTAATGTCAATTATCAGTCAATCGGGTATCTCATATTATTTTCGATGTTAAAGAAATCGGATAGCTCTGAATGATTAATCATGCAATGACGACATGGTAAATTCGCTCAGTGTAGCTTATTAACTAAAGTACCGTACCAAACGCATAATTGGCTTGTTAACTCTGAAATCATGGATTTATTTGAAGTTTTCTGCTCGATAGGCCCAAAATGGGCGATTAGGCCGAACTAGTTCTCTACCCTATTCCCATTGGTTCTCAGGCAGGTAATATTGGTACATGAGAGGAAGAAATAAATGGAACAAGTTAAGTGTGAGCCGCATGCATTATTGGTTAGTCGTTTGGGTCATGGTGTTGTGTTCCCTATTTTATTTGCCTCTATTTCGCTCTCAGATCGCATCACTTTTTCCCTCCCCCAAACTATTATGGGTGTAAAAGAGGACTCATATTTGGTAACCTCTCGCGAGCGCAATTCAAAAGATATTAATAATTCTAGAACTGGGCTCAAACATATCACATTTTCTAAGACTGATCATGATTAATATAGTATGAATAATGAGAATAATACAATATTGTATGAAGAAAAGACGATCCCAAAAGAAAGTTCCCTAGCAATAAAACTATTACTCTGTGCTAATCTGAGTTATTTCAAAATGGGAATCCTTACTCAGAAACTGTTCCCGATCTCAACAAACTGTACCGAAATCAGAACAGTTACTCCTTGGTAAGATTTTGGCATTTCTATTTAATTGTATAAAGCTACTTTATATCGAGCTCTTTTCAATAATTGCAACATGTGAATAATGCAGAACAAGTTTAAAATGGTTCTAGAGCCAAATTGGTTTTGAAGGAAAGTCAAACTACAACCGAACAGCTCAGCCGCTCTGAACCCTTCAAGTATGAACATTATGCTTTCCCAATATGGTACATTCTCTCATTATAAACCTGTCATTTCTAGTATATCTGAACTATTTAATAAATGGAAACCATAACATGGGTTACGCTCCCCTTAAGCGGGCCCTCCGCATCCTATCTCTGTCTTATCTGAAATACCAAATGCCAATGCAATGGTTTGAATGTATCAATATATAAATTGAAAATGACGTTCAATCAAATAAACCCATAACCCACTCACTTGGCCAGGCTTCAGAATCGTCCAGTGGGCAGTGCGCTCTACACAAGTTCCCTTTCTTTCAAATTCACCCCGAATTTTATATTTTACCCCTTTGAGTGTTGATTAATCACAATGAAACACTGTGACAAAGCGCGGCCTTGAGGTTACTAGAGTATCTAGGTCCTATTTAGGATTATATCTGAAAAATCCAAATCTGGCCAACGCCCACCAGTCTTAACATTCTAATTTTAGAATATTTTCTCGGTTAAATGGCTAGTGTATTTTTAAAATCCAACGAGTTCTTAATTTTACATCTTTCTCAGGGTTGGCAGATTACAACCTTTTCTAACTATATATTAAATATGGGCTCACCAAAATCAGGATTTTAATAAAAGCCTACACGGTACATTGATCCATTAATAGACGATTTCCAGCATGAATTCTATAGACAGATGTAATTGACGTGGTACTGTGTACACCTAACGTGACCCGTTACGTGAAGAACAACGTGAGCCAGGAAATAGTCGTTTACTTTAAAATTGTGAAACCGTTATAATATGATGGAACGTACCAACCAATTCTATCTTGCACCTGATCTCAATGCCGTAAATTATGGATGGAAACGGGTTAGCTTGGCTTGGTGTGCCCTTCAACTTTCTTTCCCATTGATCGTTTGTCATGGGCGTTATGGTGTGAGGCATACACATTGTGTGCCTACTACGGGGTACACAGTTTTCTTGTAGCATATTTACTTGCCAGCAAGCAAGAACCCATCAGGAGAAAAGGCGTAACAAACAATTATGAATGTATGCATAATCCCATCTTCCTCTTCGACCTTCCCCTTCATATTGTACAGTATTAGCAGACTTGGGGTTGTACGGAGCAAGGCTGATGTGGTGTGTCATGTGTATGTGTTTGTCTGCATGGCGGTTGGGCTGCCCCAGGAATTATGTAAACCAACACTAATTTTATCGTCAGTTTGAACATCTCTGTTTGCTTTGTGTTTAGCAGCGCATCAGGCGAAGGTGACGGCGATGACGATGCTGATGATGATGATGAAAAATGGGTTGGGTTCAAGCAGGCAGATTGAAGGTGCTTGTTGGTGCAGATTGAAGTCGTTGAGGTGATGTCCTACCTTCTCTGAAAAGTTAAGCAACATGAAATGATGGAACGGCGGGAGAGATGGAAGCAAGGCTCTTCCGGGCGCCACAAACCTCATAATGTACGAACTACGAACATACGTGGGCAAAACGGTATGCTGGATATTTAATTATTGATACTGTGGGATGATTCCGAGCTATGATATGTGTACGACGAAGTTATGACGATAATTTGATGAACGATAGGTAGAAATTAAATGGCAATGTGGAAGCTTTCTCATCTTAATTCGTAATATCTATGGGGGGACGTGAAAATTTGTTAGCAGCCAGCAACCATGCGCCTCCATTGAAACTACTGGACAGATCATAAAAATGGGATTTCTTTCTCCAATGCATTCGCTTTAACAAGTTTTCAAATTTTAAATTTATTTCAACTTTCTTCCTTAGAGTCTCCCCCAGGAAGCAGCAATGTAGTAGCGCTTTAGGTTTGGTTATTATTCTTATGACCTTTAGGTTTTCATCTTACTTGAAAGCAACGGAAACGCCAAATCACTTACAATTGTCTGTAATAGGTTGCTCGCAGCCGTGAACCAAAATAAGAAACAAACGGTAGGGATAAGAGGGCCATAGTGAACAGGTGGGGCATAATGAGCATCGCGTACTCCAGTCCTCTTCGAACCGCTAATTGTTCGAAACAAATTAATTTGTTTCGAACAATAAGAAATCCAAGGCTAAACTACACGAACCTCACTATGGCCCTCCTTCCACTACTGCTTTACTGCTTTATGTCATAAATAAGCGTTACCTTTTTATAGTAGTTATTATAATACACAAAAGGAGAATAATCTATAATAATCGTTACTGCTATGCCAATTCGTGCTGTAGTAATAGAGACGGAGGATTCAATCAATTCAATCATAAGGAGAAAGAACAACCATCCTAACCTAGAAGCGCCAATGCGTTTAGAATCATTCCCAGCAAATGTTTTCCACTTTTCAAACTTTCTATTTTCCTATTATGTTTTTGCGTCAAGCATATTTGAAGAACGCATTTTTTCCGCTATGTGTTGACTCATCAATTAGTGTGTTCGTGTGTGAATGGCTAATTTTCTCCTGTGGTAGTACCTATCATATTCATGTGCCTTCGCTCGGTGTTAGTACAGAAAGCTACCGAATCCAAACGCCGATCGAATACTGTCCCAGTAGTAGCGGTTCCAGTTGGCTTTCGTTGCCTCGAACTCGGCCGATGGGATAAGCGTCTGGGTGAGCTTCAGCATGGTGTGATCCTCCTGCAATGAGATGGGGAGAAAGTCGGAATAAGTTGTTTGAAATAAAAATGAAGGCAGAATAGATTACGCTTACTACTAGTAAGTGGGTACGAAATTAAATCAATAATTAGGTAGGTATAGGTAGCCAAATATGGATTACAGTGTATGTTTAAGGTGATTCCTTGTAGAGTCCACAAATGGCCGCCACGAAAGCTGTAAATGCACTACCACTTCGAACTTTCAATTACACAAATCTCAGAAATTAGAGCTTCATTTCACCTGAAATTGCTACTTTGTGTATGCTGCAGTGCATCGAACGTGGTGTAACAGTTTCTTTGTGGTACGTGTCCTGGAAGCTGATATTTGTGCACTTGAAGTTTCCAAGTGATTACTAGAATAAGTATCTCACAGCAAACCACCTTAAGAATGCCGCGAGAAGTGGTAAGAATGTACTGTAATTGACAGGAAGATTAAGGAAATGCACAAGCGAACCATAGGGTTCGGATCGGAATGTAGTGAAAAAGCTAAGTTCCGAACCCATCAAACAGACATAACACATTGAATATTTTTCACCATAAAACAGTATGAGTATACTGTGATGAGCAGTACACTGAACAGATGGCGGTAGTGTGTAAACGTCACCTGTGGCGCGCATAGTCAATTCTCTTGCGTTTTCAGTGTACTGCTCATCACAGTATACTCAACAGATGGCGGTAATGTTTTAGCGACGATGTTTTATATTGAAAAATAATCAATGTGTTATGTCTGTTTGTCTGTGGTACTACCAACGAAAAAACATTGAAATTAACCGTTAAATGCTAGTTCGATGAACAACTTGTGCGAGTATGTCTGTTTGTCTGTGGTTAAACCTATTTGTTACACCTGATCAGGTGAAAACCGGTACAATGGAGGCACCATATTCGAAGCGGTTCCTAAATCGACGCACTCAATAATGTTCGACTATTTTCAATCATTATTTTTGAAATGTTACTCCTGTGCTCTAGGGATGATGGTGTAACAAAGTTTTGAAAAATATCTTGTCAAAATCGAGATGCGATAAAAATTAGACGACTGCGTCATCATTAGGGACGCGTCAAATATGATGTTGGCACGGTAGTCATCGGAGGAGACTTCAGTACTTGGGCGGTGGAGTGGGGAAGCAGATGTTCCAATGCAAGCACAGAACAGAAGAGGAAGTGCAAACAAATCGATGAGTCAAAACGTCGTTCGTTTTTCTGCTCAACAAGCAATGTGTTGTGGTAGCGTTCCATACGGGCTTTCTATGTGCACTCATACTCATACTATCATAGCATGCTGCCTATCTTAACTGCAGGCGCTAGGTGCGCTAGTGTTCGCAAATGACAAGTGGAGCCACTTTCTGATCCGAAGTTCTACTCGTTTGAATGCAAGGCAAGAGGGCAGAGTCTGCTGGTAGATCTGGCAAAGCTTGAAGTTATGCTGTCCAACGAAGGCACCAGCAGTACTTTTCGCAGAGATGGCCGGAAATTCATTATCGACGTCACTTTCTGCAGTCCGCCGCTAGTTGCAAACATGAATTGGAGAGAGTGCGAAGGGTATACCCATAGCGACCATCAGGAGATCCGATATGGCATTGGCCAACGGAATACCCTGGCCGTACGGAGGACGAGAGCATGCGACAGGGAATGGAAAACGAAAGCTTTCGACAAGGATCTTTTCGTTGAAGCACTCCGTGCGGATAGGGGCCCCACGGATCGGAACGCGGACGAGCTGACAGAAACGTTAGTGAGAGTATGTGACACGAGCATGCCGAGGAAACTGGAGCCAAATAACAGACGGCGTCCAGCTTACTGGTGGAACGAGGCACTTAGCACTCTCCGCGCTAGTTATTTCAGAGCCAGAAGACGTGTTCAGAGAGCAAGAACAGAAGCAGACAGAGAGGAATGAAGAGGAGTGTTCCGAGTTGGCAGGGCCGTGCTTAAACAAGAGTTAAAGCAGAGCAAGTTGAACTGCTTTAAAGGGCTATGTCGAGACGCTGATGCCAACCCATAGGGCGACGCATACCGAGTCGTGATGGCGAAGATCAGAGGTCCAACGATGCCCGCTGAAATGTGCCCAGAGAAGCTGAAAGTCATCGTGGAAGGACTTTTCCCGAAGCACGACCCAACGACCTGGCCACCTACACCGTACGGAGAGGGAGAAGGAAATAACGTCAAGGTCATGAACGAGGAACTTGTTGCGGCGATTCAGGCGTCCCCAGATAAGTTCAGGATGGTGCTGCAGAAATGCCTGGACGAGGGTCACTTCCCTGACAGGAGGAAGATACAGAAGCTAGTGTTGCGGCTGAAACCAGGAAACCCGCCGGGGGTTCCAGCATCTAGGCCAGAATATGCCTGCTGGATACACTCGGAAAACTCTTGGAGAGGATCATCCTACACAGGTTGACGAAATGCACGGAGAGTGAGCACGGATTGTCGGATAAGCAGTTCGGATTCCGGAAAGGAAGATCAACGGTGGATGCAACTGACATGGGACAGAGATCGATTAGGATCACAGTGGGAGCTCCACAAGGCTCCATCATTGGTCCAACGCTTTGGAACGGTATGTACAACGGCGTGCTAATGCTGAAGCTACCCAAAGGAGTTGAGATCGTTGGCTTTGCGGACGACGTCGTCTTGACGGTAACAGGCGAGACACTGGAGGAGGTGGAAGTGTTGACAACCCAGGCGAACGACATGATTGGTAACTGGATGCAAGGAGCGAAGCTGCAGAAGCCCACCACAAAACGAAAGTGTTATTGGTCAGTAACTATAAAGCGGTGCAGCGTGCAGAAATCACCGTCGGGGAGCACGCCACAGTCTCGAAGCGCGTGTTGAAATACCTAGGAGTGATGATCGATGAACGGCTAAACTTCAACAGCCACGTAGAATATGCTTGTGAGAAGGCTTCGAAGGTCATCAACGCGATAGCTAGAATCATGCCGAACAACGCTGGCCAGTGTAGCGTCGTCGATACTGAGGTGTGGAGGTCCAGCCTGGGTTGCAGCGCTGGAAACGAAGCAGAACATTCCGGCTCATGAATATGCGAGTCGTGAGTGCTTTCAGAACCATCTCGTCGGAAGCAGTATGCGTTATCGCCGGAATGATCCCTATCGGCATCACCCTGGCGGACGACAGCGAGTGCTACAGACGGAGAGTTGTGAGAGCGGAGTCGTTGGCTAAGTGGCAACACGAGTGGAACACGACGGAGAGCGGTAGATGGACACATAAACTGATACCGATTCTTTCGACTTGGGTTTACAGAAAACACGTAGAAGTCAACTTCCACCTAACGCAGTTCCTATCTGGCCACGGTTGCTTCAGGAAATACCTGCATCGGTTCGAACACGCAGCGTCACCCCTCTGTCCGGAGTGTGGCAACGTGGATGAAACGCCGGAGCATGTGGTCTTCGACTGTCCAAGGTTCGAGTCAGTGCGAATGGAGATGCCCGTCCTTAACGTGGAGAATGTCGTCGATGAAATGTAGAGAGGAGGGCACTTGGAAAGCCGTCAACAGAGCAGTCACGCAGGTTATGTCGGAGCTGCAGCATAAATGGAGAGAAGGGCAGTTATCTAGCAACGCCAACTAGCGCTGAGAGTATGCGGAAAGCAAGACTATAAAACCCGAGATAAAGCCCTCATGGATCAACAAAACTACATAACCCAGGAGGATGTCCCTGATGATACACAGGGATAAATTCGATCATAAGGTGATCTATGACTGGTGATATGTGGCATGCATAAGAGATACAGACATGGTATCTAGACTAAAATTTGAAAAGGACGTAATTCCAAAATGACCATATCGAGAAAATCGCTTCCGAATTTTGATGACCTAAAAATTAATCCTATTTAACGACTCGGACACCCTCGGGATTTTTTGTTTGTTGTTCCGTCTTGGTTCCTCGTGCGCAAATTTTGTGAGAGTGGAATTACGCCCGGAGATTTTTTTTTTTGGTCTTCTTTTTGTTCGTTGTTTACACGTGAAATATCAATCGGATGCATTTCAAATGAATCGGGCGTGACTAGATACTACAGAATCAGTACGTTCGGCATTTTTTTTATTATTATTGGGTATCAAGCTGGAGCTGCGTGACAGCTTAGTTTTCAAGACTTGACCCATTTGAATAAATTTTGCTTCTATCTTCGACAATACACCGCTTGAACACTGGATTCCGTGTGTATTGCTTCAAGATAGTCATAGAAAAAATGCTGTGATGTGTGCGCGTAGATACATCCACGTAGATACATCCGCGTAGTAAACCGATTGAATAAGTAAAGGGTGTCCACGATGAAATTGCCACACTATGAAATTGCTCTAACTTTTTAACCGTTGGGTAGAATTTAATGAAAATTTGGGTGGATTTAGTTCATAGTGCATTATTTACATCCTGCAAGTTTTAAAGTCCTGTGATCAAAACTCGCGGAAATGGAGTCGAAAGAACAGCTCGTGCGTGATAAAATCTTGCGCATTCATCACGAGAACAAGGATCTCTCGCATCGTTCCATCGCTAAAACGTTGGGAATCGCGAATTCCACGGTGTCGCGAGTGATTAAGCGGTTCGAGGAACGGTTGACCACCGATCGGAAGCCCAGAAGTGAAGGAAAAAGTATTCCGTACAACACCAAAAATCACAACCGCGTAGTTGGGGCCTTCAACCGAAATCCGAACGCCTCCGTTAGGGATGTGGCTAAGAAGCTGCACCTAAGCCGAAGTTTTGTCCAGAAGGCCAAAACTAAGGTTGGGCTTCGAACGTTCAAGGTACAAAAGGCCCCTATTCGCGACGAGAAGCAGAACAAGTCCGCCAAAACCCGTGCCAGGAAGTTGTACCTCAACATGCTGACGAAAGTTGAATGCTGCATCATGGACGACGAAACATATGTGAAGGCCGACTTCAAACAGATCCCCGGCAACCTGTTTTTCACGGCCAAGGATAAGTTCAGCGTTCCGGAGCATGTCCGCACTCAGAAGATGTCCAAATTTGCGAAGAAATTCCTGGTTTG